TAAAAACTAAAAGTGAAGCTTGAGCTAGAATTTATATGTTACTATTAAAGATTGGATATGGATAATATTAACCTTTGGAGAAATGCATATCAAAATTCTCTACAGGCATTCTCTTCCAATTAAATTTTGAGGCAAGGAAAAGGAAAACAATTACAATACATGACAATAATAGTTCATAGATCAATATCAATATCAATAATAACAATTATGCCAGTAATGAGAAACCTGAATGAATATAGTGGACTTCGTTTTTCAGAAAGGTTTTCCACAATCTTTATCACACAATTGCTTCAGTCCTAGATATGTGAAATAACTTGTAAAGTGTTGAATAAAGTACATCTCAACAATAATTTAAAAATATACTTAGTTTTTTTAAAACCAATGCTATGTATGTATCATAAATCCATATATATGTTGCATCATTGCCTCTTGATGTTTTTTGATAATAATTCAATAACTCAAAAAGTTGCAATGAAATTTTTAATTACAAATATAACTAAGCCAAGTTGTGAACATATTTTAGAACACAGTCTTTATTAATGCAAATTGCTCCCTAAGCCTAAGAGGTCTACAGCAGCAATAGCTGTGGAATGCATGTGTTTGTGTGCGCATACGCTGCAATCTGTACACTGATATGTTACTTAACCATAAAATTGCCATGAAGTAGAGAGGACAGAATCCCTCCATCTGCAACATCACTTCCTTTTGGCATAAGATGTCAAAATTGGAGATGATCAAAAGTGTCATGTCTTGGAGAAACATCATCATTGTAAACTTATACTAGTTTGGTAAACTACCTATCAGTCATCCCACAAAATGTCCCTTATTTTTTAATTACTGATGATTTCCATGCATGTCTATCTAGGTTTTCTTTACACAAACATATGGAAGTGGTTTGTCATTGCTGTCACCCAAAATTGTTTTTGTTTCCCAGTTTAGCCTCCTAGGATTTCATAGTGCTCTTCCATTCAAGTTCTTAAAGCCATCTCAGGATCCAGTGTTTTCATCTGAAGATACTCTTTGCTGTTGCAATGTATATCGTTTCATGCAATGCCACAATAGACAACGTGTCCTCCTTGACATCCATTCCACAAAGTTTTGCAAGTGCGCACTATAACAAGTCATTTGGCTTTTCAAGAACAGTGAAGATTGATCAAGTGTTGCCTTCTATACTTCAATATTAAACTTATGTTGATCTTCAGCTTTGGAAAATGATTTTATACAAATTGAACTAACGTGTTTGCAAAGGCCAAGTAGCTAAACTACTTTCAGACAAACATGTTAATATGCATTGACCAGTTCATGAGAGCAGTTTCATGGAGCATTCAGACATCAGTTATCTTTTAGTCATCAGCCCATGTTCTACATCTATTTTACACTTTTTTTCCTCTTAATGGAGACAATCTATTTAGTTTATATTGCAAATGAAATGGACTCCATTTTCATTTTAAAATTCATACTGAAATGAATCCATGTATGTAAAAAAAATGATAATTTTTATAATTTTACAAATTATTATTTTAATAAATAATAATTTAAATATTATATAATTTAGTAAAGGAGTGACTTTTTTCTAGGCTATGCAAAACCCTGAAAACAGTTCGGGCACTTGATCAGCAAAGAGATACTGAAAGTAGGTTCCAAGGGATCTTCAGATTGTTTACCTCTACTATATTCTCTGTATGACAGAGGATTCAAGAAACCATCTTATATTTAGGAAGAAATCATCATCTAGTCCAGTGGTTCCCAAAGTGGGCGGTACTGCCCCCTGGGAGGCGGTGGGATGACTTAGGGGGGCGCTGAGGCAAGGGGGGCAGCAGGGGGGTGCTAAGAGGCAAGAGGGAGGGCAGGGGGGGCGCTAAGAGGCAAGGGAGATGGCAGAAGAGTGCTGGAGGTGTTCTGCTGTACTGTACTCCTGACTCGCCTAGGTTAGCACGCAGGCACAGAAGGGAATGCGATAGGACCGAAAGCAAGAGTCCTTTCCCCACGCGGCTTGTGTGGAGGTGGCAGCTCAGTCTCGCCTCACCAGGAACCGGCGCGCCACGCCTTTGGGAAGGCTTGGGTATCACACGCACCTTCAATGGGTGGAAGGGCTGGGTTCTTTTTCATTGCAAGAGACTGGCAGTTAAAACTGCTCCTCCAGCTGCGGAGGGGGGGCGGCGGCCGTGAACCTCTAAACGTAGCAATGGAGTTATCTTCCCTGCTTCTTGCCGGCTTTGCCACCTTCCTTCTCCGTGGCCAGCTGTTATTTAACGAAAGGGCATGTGGGTGAACAGCTTCACAAGAGCCAAAGCTCCAATCCCACCTGACATGAGCGCATGGAGACCCTCGGCTGGTCTGTCATGCTGTGTAGCAACTGAGCTGCTGTCTCCGTAAAAAATTGTGATTCTAAGAGGAAGAGTGTCTAGTCCGCTTGAACTACTTTCTTATGTAAATAAGGATTGAACAGTGTACAAAAGAAGTTGTGGATTGTAATCCTTTCATGCTGGGGCAGGGCGTGATTTTGTAACTACTTCATAGATGCACGTTTTTTTCTATAGTATTAGTATTGTTAATAGGATTCTTTTTAAAATCATCTGGATTAATAAACAGCCCAGTCACATGACCCCCAGCCACGCCCATCAAGTCACGCCCACAGAAGCGGTAGAAAAAAATTGAATTCCAACACTGGGTGGGGGGCACTGAGGATCAGTTTGTAGCACCAAGGGGGCGGTAGACTGAAAAAGTTTGGGAACCACTGATCTAGTCTCTGAATAAATTATGCTCTCCATGCTCACATTTATTCACAGTAAGGTCTTTAAAGAAGTACATAATTTCTAGTAATTGTTTTCCTCTATAACTAGCCCTAGTAAGAAATATGAAATAAGTATACTACAGAATCCATGCTTTCTCCATTAGTTCATATGACTCCGAGACCTTGAAGTAGGAACATTTCTATATTTACAATCCTCTGCTTTTTAAAGAGTTGTTTGTATTGCCACCACATTAATGTCTAATGAAAGTTTATATATCTAATTCTGCTCCTCTTGTGATATATGAAATATATGAAATTTTTAAAAGTGCCGTTATTTTAAGGGACAATAAAGTTATAATAGATATGTAGCCTTTTTCTGGTTTTAAAGGCCATCTGGCCTTACTTAAGCCACAAAATATACATTCCATTTCTCCAGGATAGTTTAGCTGCATAAAGTTGGCTTATTGCCCTCTGGAAGAGTCATTGATTAAATGCATCCCATCACGTTTTCCTAGCTATGTTGCTGTTCTGTACAGATGTACCATTGCAATCTTAAAAACCCAACCTGATTCCTAACCTTAAAAAAAATAAAAAAGATTCACTTGGCCAATAAAACGTAATAGAATAGCCTTCAATGTTGAAGTTATACCTATGACAAATGCCGCTATCAATTTATCCTCAAATTATCTCTGGAAGTGTTTATGTACTATGAAACATTTTGCATGAGCTAGACAGGAAGCTATAAAATATTTTATGAGAACGGCACATGGCTGATGGCAGAGTTTTAATGCAAACGTGGTCCCTTCTAAATCTGAAGCCTGCCAGAAAGGAATTCTTTCCACAGTAATCCTGGTTTGACCAAAGCCCCCCAAATCTAGAGAGACTTCTTCCAATGGACAGCCTCCTGAGAATGTGAAAGAACATCACATTTGGCTGCTATGTATGGAAAAGGAAAACTAAATCTTTTGTGGAGTAAGGAGGGAAGTAAGAAATTATTCTTCAGACAATTAAAGGAATAGAACTTTAATTTTTTATTCAAATCCTTAAGGTTGTAATGCTATTTCTAACATGAGAGAAGTTTTGAGTAAATAATATTCCATATATTTAGATAAGCTTGTTTTCCATGGGCTTTCTCTCTTAATCTACATGCAATGAATGCAATCTTGAGTCTTCCCTATACGGGTTATGATATATTGTAATATACTTCTGTAAATAATTGTTCTTACTCAACACCCACTTGTGTTACCAAGATATGGTTGAACAACGAATTGTCCTTTTAAGGATTCACCTATTCAGATTACTGAACTGTCCTCTGACTGACAACTTTTGGGAAACAACATCACTAACTGATGAAGTCTGGGGACAGTTGAAGCTGCTGGTGCCACCATCACCTCCTGTAGCATATGAATAGAGGTGTCCCTGCCTTAAAGAAAGGGGTAGTATTGGAAACTCTGCTCAGTTCACTATTGGATACTTTCTCTTTAAATATGGGATTCTGGTATTTAGTTTGGCCTCTGTAATTTTGTCCTGAAGTTACTTTTAATTTGGTAATTGTATTTTAATGGCGGATTGTATTTATATCAGTTTGTTTATTTTGGATCCTTCTTTCAGTATGTCCTTTTTGGAGAGGAAGATCAAAATCTAAATATTTCTGTAAATATAAATAATATAAGAATATTAAAAATTAAGGAGGAACAGAAAGAATATGAAGAATAAGAATAAAGGGAATGGGAATATGTAGGAACTATACTATATTCAGTCATTCTGAGAATAAATCTAGACTGATCCAAGAAAATGAGACAAAATGTAGCTTGTTTTCCTTACAATTTTTTCATTTTGGCATATAATTCTTGCTTTTTGGAGAAGAGAAAGGTTATTATATGGGTTTATTGAACAAACTAGATTTTATAAATAATTGCCTGTCAGACTGTTCAAGACAGACAAATATACAGCAGACCAACAAAAACATGATCTGTCATATTTCTAAGAGAAATATATGTTGATTTTTCATTCTCTGGGGTTGTAAGTGTACCAAGTAGAAATAAATGGCAGTGCTTTTTCTGCTTATGCATTTTTTTAAAAAACAAAGATACATCTAGAGAAAGAATTTTTATTCCAGTATTCTTGGCTTAAAATGTTTTCTTTTTGCATATATGCCTGCAGATCGAAACCAAATACAATAAATGCTGGTGTCCTTTAAAAAGTCTGGATGTTTACAGCAAGCATATAATTTTCCATCATTATGGATGCCAAGAAAAATAAGAAATCATGATAAAAAGAAAGGTTTAATCATACATTTCAGCAAGCACAGACAGAACATCAGCAATGGGTTTTCTTCTTTACTGTATACACTATTTTTAGTTCTTTAACATCAGATCAATTCCAGAAAAATGACATGCAAAATGTTTTTAAAGTATAATTATGCCACTATGGAAAGCATAATACTGAATATATCAATTGCAATAATTCAGTAAAGTAACCACATCTAAACATTGACTTCTAAAGAGATTGATCCGTATAAGGCTGGTTATGGTGAATGTCCAGTATTTGGACTCTTTAAGTCCTTGGCTCTTATGATTAGCTGTACAGCAGCAACTTTTGGCAATGAGTCCGTCCTGCAGGGTTTAATGAAAACATTACATGAGATCCCATTCAAAACTGATGGCCACATTCAGACCTCATCATAGAATAGTGAAAACGTTCCTAAAGTTTTAATAAAAAAATGAAAATGAATATAGTCTTGTGTAAATTTTGAACAAAAACAGAATACTGAAATTAGTTTGCAATTGAAAGGAATCCTTCTTCGATTGAGTAACGTGCCAACCGAAGAAATGACAAGACATTAGGTGCTCCAAGAAAAAGAAAGAAGAGGATGCTGTAGTGTCATTTCTTTCAAAAAAAATTCAGATAAATGGATTCACAAAGCACTGGAAGCCTAGAAAAAGCATATAAACCAATAATCTTGATGTAGTGGCAAAATGCTGTTTCCATGTTTTTATTCCATTGAAAAAGATTAGGATTACAATTTACTATCATGCTTATCTTAACAGAAAAATGCTTCCCATATAATTATTATTATTGTATAATTATTGTAAGGCATTTGCACTATGAGAATACAATATATTTTTCTGTGTAGAAATGGCCTTTTAATTAATAACCCAACGTACGAAGAATTATCCCTGCCTTCAGCTTTTTGCATGATTCACTAAATGATTTTGTTTTTTTCTGAGTGAAAGAGCCTCATTCTTGAACTGCACAGGATTTCCCCATAGTAGGCAATTCTGCTCTGTCTCTGCAAAATGTCTGACTGACTGAAAATGAGGCAATCAGAATAACAGAATAATGGAGTTGGAAGGGACCTTGGAGGTCTTCTAGTCCAACCCCCGGCTCAGGCAGGAAACCCTATCAGAAAAATCGTTATTCAATCTCTTCTTAAAAAGTTCAAGTATTGGAGCAAGAGCCGTGGTGGCACAGTGGTTAGAATGCAGTACTGCAGTCTACTCTGCTGTTTACCAGCTGGCAGCAGTTTGGCAATTCGATCCTCACTAGCTCAAGGTTGACTCAGGCTTCAATCCTTCTGAGGTGAGTAAAATGAAGACCCAGGGGGCAATATGCTGAATCTGTAAACTGCTTAGAAAGGGCTGTAAAGCACTGTGAAGCGGTATATAAGTTTAAGTGCTATTGCTATTGCCAATTTCTGGAGGCAAGTTATTCCACTGTCCTAACTATCAAGAAAATTCTCCTTAGTTCTAGGTTGCTTCTCTCCTTGATTAGTTTCCATCCATTGGTTCCTGTCCTGCCTTCAGGTGCTTTTCATATCTGATGCACAGATGTGCCAGAAGTGCTTACCTTTGCATGGCATCACTTGCTGGTGTAACTGTTAGCACCTGTAGGCGACTCTCATAGTATATAGTTTTAGAATTGCTATTTTTCAAAAATCCAGTTTTTAAGACCAATATTGGTATAGCACAGTTTAGTTGAACTCTGATATTATATAACGATGTTTAGATTGATTGTTAAAATTACATTATTTTCTGTTTCACAGTTCCTGGTCAGTCTATCAATTTCCAAATTACACAAAATAACAATTGGCTTTTTAGATTTGTGAAAAAAATCAAAATTTCTCTAATTATTTTCCTGATGAGGAAAAACAAATAAGGCAATTAGCAGTTTGATGTAAATACATCACAGCTTCTTTTAACTTTCTTTATAAAGGTGATGAGTTGAAATTAACAAAAAGGCCACTGAAATTTGTTCTTGAGGACAGATACTGTAATAATTTTGAGGAGGAGGGTAAACTTCAGAACCGTGCAATTTACCATGACATACCAAACATCTTGCCATTAATTAGCTAAATGTTACTTTTAGAAATCAGGAATAATGACTGAGGGGGTAGGAAAAGAGAGACAGAAGCAGCCATTTGATAGTCGCAACAAGCCAGCCCACTCACAAGTATACTTGCAAATGCCGAATTGGCTTCGGGGGAAAAAAATCACCTTAATATAATACTGTCTTCTTTCTTGTTGCTGTAGGCACATCCATATTAGCAAGCCAGAAAAGTCATCCCATTTCTGCGGTAGGCGCTCTGTCAAAGAAAGAAAATCTGCAATGAATTATCACATCAACTTAAACAAGGAAAAACAGGCAGAGAGCAGAGCAAGACTTTCTTCCTGTTTGTAGACTATTCTGGCTGCAATCTAATAGCAAACTTAATCTTAACATTTCTGGTGGGGAAGCATTAAGCAACCACATTTTCTATTAAAAGCTCAGTGTGGTTAGAAGCGGTTAGTGGTTCTATTTCAGGACATGTGCAAAATTATGACATCCTATTTTGTTAATTACCTAATACATAAGCAATTGGTGGTCAAAAGTACTAATAGTTCAACATTCTCATTTTTTAAATAAATCTATCCTAAATCTCATCACCATTTAGAAAATTCACTTCTGCCTTACCTATAATAAATAAATGACTGCAATATTTTAAATTTCTCTCATGAGGATTGTATAGACTAGGTTCATTACAATGTACATCTAATCAACCTTTACCTCACCTCCCATTAAGTCAGTTTTCTGACACTGCAGAATCAATGGGTTTGAAAAAGAGGCTCAAACAACTGAAGGCTATGAGAGAAAAGTTTTTTTTTAAATCACTTTATATTTTAGGTGGCTCAAGACTGTCAGGGGCTTTAAACATATCTTGAGACATTCTAGAACAGTGTTTCTCAACCTTGGCAACTTGAAGATGTCCGGACTTCAACACCCAGAATTCCCCAGCCAGCATCCGCTGGCTGGGGAATTCTGGGAGTTGAAGTCCGGACATCTTCAAGTTGCCAAGGTTGAGAAACACTGTTCTAGAACCATTATTCTCAATTATCTTAATGTTATCAGTGTAATGTTCATTACACATTTGTTTCATGCACAAACTCTCCTTTAAATACTTACTATATGTCTTTAAACCCACTGAATTCTAATCAATGTTGCCATTCATCTCGGTAAGAGCCGAGGTGGCGCAGTGGTTAAATGCAGCACTGCAGGCTACTGCTAGATCAGCAGTTCAGCGGTTCAAATCTCACCGGCTCAGGGTTGACTCAGCCTTCCATCCTTCCGAGGTGGGTAAAATGAGGACCCAGATTGTTGGGGGCAATATGCTGACTCTCTGTAAACCGCTTAGAGAGGGCTGAAAGCCCTATGAAGCGGTATATAAGTCTACTGCTATCTCCAACTGAGTGCATTCTGGCAAATTTTGCAAATCTGCTTATTTCTTTTATATTCCTAATATGGATATCATCAGAAATCAAGATGTCACCTCCCCCCACTCTTTTTCTTCCTTTAGCATACATGTGAATACAAGCATGCACACACAAATATACCAAGTAAGACTGATACAAATAATCGAAACTGGTAGATGTTAACCTGATTCTACTCTGATTTTCCAATTATAACAGCCTCCAAAGCAGCTTGCAACCAATAATTCTAATATAAACTGATTATCCTGAATTAAACGAATCAAAATCAAGTCAAACATTGAAAAGCAATTGTTTATATTACAAAGGTATATTAATGCTGAATAGAATAAGAAATCAAGCTAGCTAGGAACATTTCATTTGATACCAAAACTGAAATTTCAGCTAACCTCTAGAATTATTTTCTTTTAAAGGCAAGCAAATTTTTAGGGGATAGAATTTTAGAACTGAACTGAATCTTTAGTAACTACAACTAATTTGCCAAAGGAGGGATACCCAGAAGAAAAGCCTCTATGGCAGGCATATTCAAATTGGAGTAGACAATCCTTAGATGTGTTGACTTTAGGTTATTTTTGGCTTTGAATGTTAAAAACCAGGATTTTCAACTAAAAATTTAAATCAATTTTAAAAAACAGCTCAAGACTGGATGCTTTCGAAACAACATTAAAGAGTAGCTGAACTCTTTCAGGAAATGAGAAAAGGAATTGGTATATCAACTGAAGTAGAGTATTACTCTACTTATTTAGTATTTACAATCATTTTTATACCACCTAATCCAAAAGATTGTTGGTAAACAGGGTAAAAATACTATTGTTAGGTTCCACAACATGTTAGCATAACAACATTTTGATCAAGGAGAATATTTGTAGCTCAGAACTGAAATAAGGGGTCCTTGGTGCTCTGTGAGCTTAGTTGTTGGTTTGGAGATGTTTCATTATGAGTAATGATCCAACCTAATTATTTGATCTAACCTAAATCTAAAATTTATTTGTGTGGGAATGCTCTAATTTTATTCTCATTCAATTTTAATAACAACTATTCTCACGTGATTATAACAACTGCTATATCTACCATGTTCTGGATATTGATCAGAACATTACTATGTACTGCATATGAAGACACAATAATGTTCTCTGTAGCTGTAGACCAGGGCTGTCAACCTCCCGGCTGACAGGCTGGATGCGTCACAGGCTGGTCATGCCCATGCCCGCTTTAGTGAAGGGAAAAAATATATCATGTGACAAAGTGAGTTTGACAGCCCTACTGTAAACCAAAGGATAATTCAAATTAAATATGCCACAAGAAAGGTGGGAAACTTTTCTATTTGGAAAGATAAAATAGTTTCCATTATTACCATTATTTTGCCATTTTAAAAGCCTTCACAGTTGAATCATGTAAAGTTTTCTGAAATTCCAGATCCTAAAAATCCGTATCTCAATCTAGACAATTCCATTAATTTTTATCTCAGACTCTTAAGCACCAGTAAATATATCCATAGAACTGGGCTTCGAATTCTCAGATCTTCCAGATTTTACTGAACTATATCTCCCAGCAGGCTCAGACAGTAGGGCTGATGATTAGTGATGCTGGGCTTCATAGTCCAATGAATATATACAGAGTTACATATTTTCCACACTTCCCTAGAATTTCTAATAGTCACAAATATTAATAAAAAACAGTTTTACACATTGCAATTCATAGCCACATTTACAGAGAGACCTCCTGAATCTGTTTCTGAAAACTATTATCTTTATATAAAATGGAAACTATTTCAAATATTGTCATGATTTTTTTCCCTGCTTTTGGGAACTAATGAATGAATAACATTGAAAATTAGCTCTTAGTGGTTTTAATGTACATTTACCTAGAAGAAATGTCCTACTTTTTTCTCTTATACATAGGCTTACACTGGAATGTGCTACAAGATGAAGAATATTACACTGAACTTAAAAAATACTTTCAAATAAAACATTAGGCAATGTCATAAGAATGAATAGCTTAAAATGAAATATTCTAACTAAAGCCAGGCATGGGCCATTATAAACAAAAGAGCCATATATCCAAAGATATGGGTATTGCTTAAGCAACTAGAATCTATGCTTAGAATTTCAGGCAAAAAATAGTATTTTCTTTTCCTTCAAGACACTCTAACAGATTTATAACACAGCAAAAAGCTTTACTCTAATTCAACACTAAAGATTACTATGAAACATATATGAAGATATAATAAAAATTATATCTTTATTATATTTTATTATAAAAATATATTATATTTTTGCTAATTTGAGAAAAGAGATGTGGGAGATACAAATACTCAGAGAATAGGGGTGGGGGGATAAAATCTAGTTCTCTTACATTCAATTGCATATTTCAGCCAAAAACAGAAATACTTTTTTTTAGTCTATGAAGATAATCGCTTACTGAAACAGACCAACTTGGAAATGAACAGAAATAACAAAAACACTTAAAGGAGAGGAGGAGGTAGGAGAGGAAGAAATGGTGCTGATGGCAAACAGTATTTTCCCTTCTAAAGGCTTGCTCGATATATTTTTCTCTTTGAATAGAGTAGCAAATGACACCACAAAGCAAGTTCCATAATAACAAATGTTAACCAAGTTATTTTTTGACATGAAGCAGAACATTCCCTATGCCCCTCTCTCATCTTCAACAATAAAAACAAAAACAAAGTAAATAGCTAATCATTGCAATCCTTCCATTGCATTCATATCTGCTGCCAATATAATCATAATTACAACACTTATATGTTGTACAACACTTGTACACACTGATGACAATTAATGAATTTTACTTATTAAAATTCAATACATGCAGGCTTATGGGGCTATAATAGCTATAGGTATTTTGTTTAATACATACATCGGCACCTTGGTGTGGATGGATATCCTTCAATATTGAAATGACACAATTACTAATGTAATTTAGCATATTTACGTATGTCTGCATGCATATGTGAAAAGTATAAATCCAACATGCAATAAAGCATAGGAACACCAGGTTCTACCACAGAACCTGTAGGTATGGTATCATCTGTTCACACTTCTACACTGGATCGCTGTATGTGTCCTGTGTGATCAAAATGTTGAAGATTATCTTGAATAGCAAACCAGAACAGGGAGCATACAAATGAGGAATTTCAGTTAATATCGTTTCAAATATTTGTGAAGATGATGATGTTATTTATTCAGTTGTGTTCAACTCTTGGCAATTCTCTGGATTAGAATTGTCTCTCCACATCTTCCAATCTTATACTACTTCTTTGAGCATTTCTATGGTATGGCTGGTGTCATGTTTGAGGTGTCCAACTACTGGTTTCCTTTTTACCACTAAGTCTTCCAAACATAACTGTTTTCTCCAGTGATTCCCTGCCATATGGCATGGGCAAAATAAGTGAGATTCACTGTTTCATGATTTTGCCTTCCAGTGACATGCCTCCTGTTATGCGCTCCAGTACTTACTTGTTAATCACCTTTGTTGTCCAAGGAATATCTAGGAACTGCACCACAGCTCAAATGAGCCAATGTTCTTCCAGTCTTGCTTTCTTAAGGTCCAACTTTCATAAACATAGTTTATTATGGGGAACACAATAGAGCGGACTAACCTACATTTAATTGCCAGATGTCCTTGCTTTTCCATATTCGGGTCATGTTCATCATTGTTATGCAACCCAGTGCAATCTGATGTTTTATTTCTCAGCTGCATTTATCACTTTGAGTGATCTGCAATTCTAGGAAAGTAAATTTTTCCACGCATTCTGTCTCTTCATCCTTCAATTACTATTTAGTTTGTTTGTTTCCATTTCTTGCTGTGGACATGAGCTTGG